AAAAACTAACTAGTTTAAATTTTGTTGGGGCATTTTGATTTTTGATATTGTTGATATCTTGAATGGTTATTATTTAATTCGAAGAGTTTTTATTTCCTAAGATAATATTAAGATTTTTGTGGTAATGTTTAAATACACAATTGTAATCCTTATTTATGTATGACAATAAAAAAAATTTAGTTTTCAGAAATTCTTTGTTATCAAATTAGTATCAAGAGCTAGGTTTTTCATAATATTAGGATTTCTCAAATTTTAGTTTGAACATGAGAATGGTTGATCTAACGAATGTTACAATTGTGCTTGACTAGCGAAGGACATCAGTTATGATAGATGGAAGCCCAAGATAACTGGAAGTAGTAGAGGAAGGTTTTGAAGAACCAAAAACCACTGAAGGGCTGGCAGCATCCGTGCACTCAAGGCGTTGAAGGAGAAAGGTTCAAAGGATAGTGCAACTCTGATCATTTTGTTTCGAGTTATAAAATATTCCAATTTCAAGAAAATTGCAGAAGTTGCATATCCAAATGAAGCACAGATAACATTGGAGACAACACACAAGAGAGCGATGATTGGATTAAATATATTCAATTACAAACACTATGAAGGCATGAGAATGAAAGAGTTAGAAGAAGTTTTCAAGTACATCACGCGTGTTAAAACCATGGTGAATTAGCTCAATCGGGATGGAGAGGCAATTTCCAAAAACTATGATGCACGAAGAATATTGAGGTTGTTGACCAATGACTTTGAGAACAAAGTGTGCATGATAGAATAATCAAGAGACATGTTCGAGCTCACAATTCAAGAGTTGGTTGTTTCTCTTGGAGCCCATGATTATTGAAGGAAGAAGATGAAGGAGGAGACAATTGTGTAAGTTCTCCAAAGCGAGGCAAAAGAGGAGAAGACTCTCTAATCTCAGAACAATAAAGAAAGAGGGAGATGAAGTAGTGGTCGAGGTCAAGGTGGCCAAGGTGACAAGAAGGAAGAAGGAGTTCAACAAAATTGACGAGGTAGAGGACATGGTTGGAGAGGAGGTCGGTCAACGAACCACTTAAATATTGAGTGTTTCAAGTGTGGCAAGTATGGTCACTATGCAAAGGATTGCTATTTAGACAAATGTTTCAATTATGGAAAGGTGAGGCATTTTGCTAAAGAATGTCAAAAGGTGGGAGAGACTTATCTCACATAAGAAATGGAAGAACCAACATTGATGATTGTCAACTACAACTCGACAATTCACATAATTGTCAACCACAACTCGAACCACAACTCAGCTAATTGCATGAATGTCAAGCATACCTCATCAATTCACTTGTGAGCAAATTATATCTCAAACAACTTGGTTTGGTACCTAGATACGGTGGCGATTAATCATATGTATGACAACGAGCATCTCTTTAAAGAGTTAAAAAGGGTAGATGTTGATAGTGTGTCGTTCGGAGATGCCTTAAGAGTTTTGATAAAATGTCTAGGAACAATATTTTTTGTAGAAGGATAAACTAGTTGGAACAATTCAATATGTGTATTTTGTTCCTAATTTCAAAAGCAATATTTTGAAGTATGGAACAATTAATGGATAGAGATACTCAGTCTTCATGAAAAACCAAGTACTATTGTTGAAGGACAAGCTTGAAAGGTTGATTACTTGGGTTGAGATGGAGAGGAACATAATGTATAAGCTACAATTGAAGAATATTCAGAAAAGCTTATGAAACTTAACGTAGAGGACACAATGTTTATTTGACATCATCAGTTTGGTCACTTGAGTTTTAGAGGACTAGCCGAGTTATCAAAGAAGAGCATGGTTCTTGGACTGCCGAGCTTGGAGACTGAAGGAAGACTTTGTAAAGAGTGTGTCATTGGTAAGCTATCAAGGACCCTTTTTCTGAGGAGTGTCGAGTACTGAGTGGATGAACAACTCGAGTTTATTCATGTCGGTTACCCCTGAATCATTTAACGGTAAGAAATATTTCATGATGTTTGTTAATGTCTTCTCTAAAAAAACATGGGTGTAACTACTGAAAGGGAAATCTAAGGTATTTGAGGTGTTCTAGAAGTTCAAGGTGATGATTGAAAATGTGACTAGGTGGCATATTAGGTCATTCCTATCTGATAGATGAGGAGAATTTACGTCGATAACTCTCATAAAATATTGTGAGGATGAAGGTATAATGAGGTATCTAACAACCCCATACTCACCATAGTAAATGATGTGGCTGAGAGGAAGAATACAATTGTTCTTAACATGGTCTGAGCTATGTTAAAAGCTAAAAATATGCCAAAAGAGTTCTGGACAAAAGTTGTGCAGTGTGTTATCTATATACAAAATAGTTGCCCACATGCAAAATTGGAATATGTAACACCACAAGAGGTATGAAGTGGGCAAAAATCAACTATGTCTCATCTCAGAGTGTTCGGGAGCATAACATATGAAATGGTTCCATCTTAACAACGAACGAATCTTGAAGACAGGAGTAAGAAACATGTGTTCATTGATTATGATGAAACATCGAAAGCCTATAAGCTATTAGATACGATCAATAAGAGGGTGGTTATAAATCGTGATCAATTTGATGAAGCAAGTGAGTGGAACTGGGGAGAATTGGAAGAAGATAGAGGATGTCGAGTTGTTACATCACTAGCTATTGTCAGCTCAGAAGGCGATGAGGAGGATGAACCACAACCAAAAATGCATAGTTTGCAAGACTTATATGATTTAACTGATAAGGATCATGTTATTTGTGTTTTGACAGCTTCCGAGGACATCACATTTGAGGAGGTCATGCATGATGAGAAATAGCGAGTTGTTATGGATGATGAGATCTAAGCTATATATTAGAATGACACTTGGGTGATGAAGTAGGTGTTCAAGAAGAAATTGAACACAGAAGGAGTGGTAGAGAGATGTAAAGCTTGATTGGCTGCAAAGGGCTATAAGCAAAAAGAAGAGATTGACTATGATGAGGTGTTTGTCCCAGTGACGAGGATGGAGACTATTCGACTACTAATATCTTTAGTGGCATAGTACAAATTATCGATCATGCAGATAGATGTCAAGTTGACATTTTTTAAGGAAGAGGTGTATGTTGAGTAACCACTTGGATATGTGAAGAAGGGGAGGAGGAGAAAGTGTTGCAACTGAAGAAGGCTCTTTATGGACTAAAACAAGCTCCTCAAACATGGAATAGTCGGATAGATACCTACTTCAAGGAGAACAAATTTATACAATGTCCTTATGAACATGGTCTGTATGTGAAGAAGAATGGAGGTAATGTGATGTTTGTTGCATTATATATCGATGATCTTATTTTCATGGGAAATAATCCTGGAATGATTCAAGAATTCAAGCGTAAAATAACAATTGAATTTGAGATGACCGATCATGACATGATGAAGTTTTTTCTTGGCCTAGAAATAAGATAAGAGGAATCAAGGATATTTGTGTCCCAAGAGGCGTATCCAAGGAGGTTCTGAAAAAGTTTAAGATGGTCGTTTGTATTTCGGTCTCAACCCTTACAGAACCAAGGACGAAGCTTTCAAAATTTGACGGAGGAGACCGAGTTGATCCGAGCATATTTATGATCCTAGTTGGAAGTCTTTTTTGCCTCATAAGTATCAGACCCAATTTGTTGCTGAGTGTTGGGGTTGTCATTTGATTTATGGAGAATCCAAACTACTCTCACTGGAAGGTATTTAAGTGAATATTGAGGTATATCTAAGGTACATTGTCACTCAAACTATTGTACACGAGGTCGGACAATTACCAACTCAATTGGTACTCGGACAGTGACTGGTATGGATATGTGGATGATCAGAAAAGTACATCGAGGTATGTATTCTTCATGGGTAACATGACATTTACCTTGCTTTTAAAGAAACAACCCATAGTGACATTGTCAACCTATGAAGTTGAGTACATAGCAGCATTGTGGAGTGTGTCATGCAATGTGACTTAGGAATTTGTTAAGTTCAATGGAGGAGAAACAACTCGATGTAACGGTGATCCGAGTTGATAACAAGTCAATCATTAAACTACAAAGAATTCGATCAATCATGAGAGGAGTAAATACATTGATGTGCATTTTTACTTTATCTGAGAACATATGAAGAAAGGAAATGTGGAGCTCGTGCATGTGGCAAGCCGAGATTTTTTTCACGAAGTCACTGCCTACTATATTGTTCAAGAACTATAAGAAGTTGATCAGGATGAAGGATGAAAGGAGTTCAGGTGCTCAGGAGCTTGGGTACTCGGCAAGGCAACAAGACGACTAGTTAGGAGCTCGGAAAGTTTTGAAATTTGGCAAATCAAAGATCGATTATGCTGATCTCAATTTTTTGTTGCACAAAAAATTAGTAAGAGTTTGTTAGGACATTTTAATATTGTTGATATCTTAGATGATTATTATTTAATTCTATGAGTTTTTATTTCCTAAGATAATATTAGGATTTTTGTGACCGTGTTTAAATATATAAGTGTAGTCCTAATTTACGAATGATAAAAAAAACAATAAAATTCAGTTTTTAAAAATTATTTGTTATCAATATTGTGAACGGAGTTAGAGTTGTGAATCCACGCAACCACTCATTAAAAGACAATAACGATAATTTTTTGGTACATCAATGTTGTAACAGATTTTGATTTATACTATTGTATCTTTGATGATTACAAGCTTCTTGTATGTAATGACAGATGTAAAACATGAATGCAGTTGTGCTCTTGCCATCATCCACATGGTAAAATATGATCTATAACAAGAAGAGATTAGATAAAATAATAAAACCAGACTGAAAAATAACTCAACCTGTAAGGGATGTGCTTATTTGTGATAGGATCCCTATATACTTTTGCTAGTCCAAAATCAATCATGTAAACCTGAAAACATAACATATTGCAGCAATTATATATGAAAAGTTGGAAGCTAAAGGCAATAATAAGTACAAAACTATCCACAGATATTAATTAGCAATTGAAGAGAACAAAATACTAATGTTAATGGAGCAACCTGATTTGCTTTCTTCCCAAGACCCATAAGGAAGTTATCCGGTTTGATGTCTCTATGCAAAAATCCTTTAGAGTGCAAATACTCTATCCGAGCAAGCTGTAAACAAAAACAAACATTTGATTTCTTTTTAAAAATAAATGTACTTAGTATTGAAAACATGGTGTGGAATGCAAGCTATAACAGAGTGGAATTCAGAAAGGTTGAGAAAGATGAAAACAGAAGAAAATGAGAAAATATATTAAAATTTATGCAGAAAGAGCGAAGGTTTAAGAGGTAAAACTGTTATAATATTATAGCATACACAAATTAGGATAACATCCAGAACTATATAAATGGCCATGCTGTCTTCAATCTGCATGGAAACCAAATAAATCAATCCTGAAAATGAATCAGTGCTTACCATCTGATCAGCCAACATCAAAACTGTTTTGAGTGATAATTTACTCCCACAGAAGAAAAAGAAATCTTCAAGACTCGGTCCCAGAAGTTCAATAACAAGAACATTATTGTCTCCATCAGTACCACACCATTTCATTCTTGGAAAACCACCTTCAATTTCATAATTATGTGGAATCAGAATCTATTCACACAATACATCGAAACTTCTGCAACAGCATTTGGATTCAACACACATTTGAGTTGTTAACTTACTTCCTCCCTGAAGAATATTATATAACTTGGACTCATACAATAGCTGCGGTTGATTGGTTTTCCTGTTCTCCTATAAAACAAGAAGGTTTGCTTTTAGAAGTACTGGACAATAGTTTTCAAATATCACAATTCACAGGTACAATAAAACGATAATAGAAGAAGTGAAACTCTCTTTAAGAAATGAGGAGTGTAAGTGTACAAAAGAGTTTAATTATGTTTAATAAAATTAGCTGAAAATTGAAAAATTAACTAATAATTAATAGTTAAAAGTTATTAATCTAGTTTCACTTGACAAAATTTTCTGTTGAGATAGTGGATAACTGCAAAAATGACAAAAGATATATATTTAAATATATATATATATATATATATATATATATATATATATATAGTGTGTGTGTGTGTGTGTGTGTGTGTGTGTGTGAAATTTAATTTAATTGATAAAAATATATTCACATATTTATTTAGCTTTGTATTAATTGTAAGCACTTATAGTTTTTATGTATAATTTTTGTAATAGTATTATTTAGTTCTAATTATTCTATTTTTGTATTATCTTATTTTATTATTAAATATTATACAACAGCTTAAAATATTTAATAACTATCATGCATACTTAAGGACATAAAAAGTTTAAAAATAACATTATTTTGAAAAAATAAAATGACAAAAACAGCTACAAATTACTAAAAGTCAAACTAGTGTATAAAACAAGCTATTATAAAAAAAAATTACTAAATAAACTATTAAAGAAATTTGATTACAAACACTTATGATGTCAAAAGAGTTTTTTTTTTGCAAATAAAAATATATAGAAACAAGCTGAAAGGATAGCCTCAGTCTCAATGAATATTTTTTATGTTTTAGTTAATATTAATTTTTTAGCAGTGTAAAATTGTAACAAAATCGAAACATAAAGATTAAAATGAAAAAAAATATATTATGGATTAAAATTGAAATATTTTAAAGGAAAACTATTTAATATTATTTTTATGATTCACGTGTCATTTTAGTTAACTTTTAGATTTTTTTACTAGTTGAAGAACTTGTTTAAATAACTTTATTAGTATTGTGTTTGAAAAACAGCTTTTTTTTTCGGTTTTTCTTTTTATTAATTTGTAGCATTTTTTTATTTTAAAAGCTAGTAGCTAAAACTAGTAAGTATATTTGGAAAAATTGACTCTGAAGCTAGTTAAAAAAAAAACTAGCAGAAAGCTGAAATTTTATTCAGCTAGTAATGAAACACTAAGAAGTTAGTTTATTATAAATGTTGGGAAAAATTTATATAGTAAAATAGTTGATAAATATAAAATGAAAAAAATAAATATGTTAATTTTATACTTTTTATTTTTATTTACAAACTACCTTTGTAATTCGATGTTGTAAGTTTAATGAAAAAAAAAATAGTAAAAGAAAAAGAGAGAGATAGATAAAAAATAAATTTAAATTTAAATAAAACCACTCCTGTTTTACGAAATTTTTTTTTTGTATATTAAACTCTAAATACTTTTACCCAACAAAATTAACTCACCATTTTGATGGCTACCATTTCACAAGTCTCGATATGTGCCCCTGGAAATGGCAATAAAACATATTCATTTTAAACAGACAGCAAATAATAATAATAATAATAATAATAATAATAATAATAATAAACCATAATTTAGTCCACAAGAACTATATATATTCTCTAAGAAATTTATTTACTAAATTAGTTCTTTGAAAACAATTTATAGAAATATTTGAATGTATTAAAAAAATTATTTAAAAAATAAATTAATAAGAGGTAAAAGTTTCTGACCAATGTGAATTTCACCGAACGATCCGCTCCCAATTTTTTTACCGATTTTGTACTTTCCTCCGATGACCCTCTCCATCAAAACAGAAGGAGGGAGAACAAATGAAACGACAGCGTTTTACTGATACGCAGAAAGAGGGAAAGCAAAAAGCGAGTTTTGCTGTCAGAAGCTGGTGTGCATCGGTTTGGAATATATGAAGCAGAGAAAACGGGGGGAGTGAGAGGAGAATAGAATACATGGTGGGGTTAGTTTCGGAATTATCGTTTTTGTATTTAAAAGTTTTTGGACACGTGGACATGACATGACGTATATCGAACAAGGTAGCGTAGCGTGCATGAGTGGCATTACTTTTCAATTTCCATGTCCCTAAAATCAGCCGCAAGTCACTTCATGGTTTTATGTTTTTTTTTTTTTTACTTTTAGTTAATTGCACCTTTTCATTCTCTCCATTGAATATTTAGGTCATAAATGTTATATTTAGATTTTTTTTTATCCTACAAAAAAATTCTTTGAAATGTTTTTTTTTCTTTTTCATTATGGTTAAATTAAACCAAGTAACTATGTATAAATATTTTTTGATATGAAAATATATTAAATTAAAAAGACTTGCGGTTCACATTAGAAGTTTATGTCAACCCATTAGATAAAAGTCTAATCCTATTGAATAGTGTGAGTTGATAGAAGGAGTTTTCCAACATTGTGTGAATTAAACACGAGATTTTTCTCTAAATAGATTATGAGATTTGAAGGAAAAGCAGGGTGGAAGAAAGCAACAAGAAAAGGAGGGAGGAGATGGAGAGAATGTTGCGGTGTGGCGCAGAGAAGAGAAGAGAAGAGAAGAAAGAGATGAAAAAACACTTAAGGGTGTTGATGGATAAAAATTGTCAAATATAAAAGCTTTTTTGGTTAAATTACGTTTAATTTTTACCTTTTGTTTGTAAGATTCAAACAAATATATCCTGTTTTAATTGGATTAACTTAGATTAGGTAGATTCAATTGTAATTTTTAAAAATATTTTTTTATTAAAATGTGTAATTTTAAAATATATCTCTTTATATTTTTTAAATATTTTCAAAACCATAAATTATATTCATTAATATTTGAATAATTTCATATCTGGAAATACACATTTAATTAATAAAATAATTGAATAAATTAAATAATAATATATTATTATTTGAATTCTATATAAAAATCATTATTTAATTAATAGGATGTTAAATTTTATGATCAATTAAAAAAATAATTCAATCTAGTTTGTTTTAGTCGAATTAGATTGAATTGAATAATCAAATTACTTATCTAATAAATATCTCTTAAAAATAAAGAAATAATATATATATATATATATATATATATATATATATATATATATTTAGTAGCAATCATGATGTAATAATACTTATAATTGAAAATTTTGGATGAAACAAAATCGTTTTTTTTTGTAAAGGGTAATTTATAAAAATAATTTACTAAAATAAATAAATTTTTAAAAATTGAAAATATAAGTAAGTTATGCTTAAATGATATCACGACTTCTCTTTTAATTTTTATTTTTTAAGTTGAAGTAGGAAAAAAAAATTAATATTGAAGTTGGACTACTTCTATTTTTTATTATTTTAATATTTTTTAATATAATAATAAATATTATTATTCTATTTATTATTTATTAATATTAGAATTCATTATTATATAATAATAAAATAACAATATTAATTATTATTATTATTTATTAGTACTCATAATAATTATCATTACTAATAAAAAATTTATAAATAGTAATACTAATAATATTTTTACTATAATTATTATTTTTATTATAATAAATAATTATTATTAAGAATAAATAATAAAATTAATTTTTATTATAACATTAATAATAAATAGAATAATAATAAATCATAATATTAATATAATAATTAATAATTATTGTTTTATTAAAAATAAATAGCATTATAATTTTGTTATTATTGTATTTTTATATTAAAAAAGTTAATAAAATGATAAAAAAAGTTAATATTGAAGTCCTATTTCTTGTACCACTTTACTTTAACTTTTTTTTTTAACACAGAAATCGTTTTTTGAATCAAAATATGTTTAAAATTTACTTATTTTGGTAAATTTTAAGAAAATTAACACTTTTAATAAAAAAAAACCAACCAAAATAAAATTTGTGAAAAAAAAAAACATTTTTGTTAATATTTCGGAGTCCTTCAGGAGACGTGTTAGGTTAATGAATTGTATGACTAATTTCTTGTAACTTGTAAGATATATTCGCGAGATTATTCTTTTTATCTTAACGATTAAAATGTTATTACTGAATTGATTTCGTAATTGAAAGTAGCGTTCAATTTTTGTCAATTTAATTTCTTTAAAATTAACATACTTTTTACAAGGTTTATATTAGTTCAGTTTAGTAACTCTATTTAGTACTTATACCATTAATGATATTATAATTTATTGTTAATGGTTAGTCTATTTTAAAGTGGGTTGATTTATTGTATTTAAATTACTTTTAAGGATAAACTTAATGTTAATATCTATTAAGTAAGCTCAACGGGAACATTAGTCTTTAATTAATTCCTAGAATTAAAATGACATAAGAAAAATGTTTATATAAAAATTTTAATTTTTTTAAAAAAGAATTATTCAATGAAAATAACTCTTTAAGAAGTTACATTTATCTTTGTGTTAGTTAATTTTGAACTCTTATTTTTTTTATTTAAAGGATAACCATTATCATATATATAAAAAAAATGAACAGCATGATAATTAAAATAAATAGCATAATATTAATAAGAATAATAATTGAGAAATTTTATTGAAGTATCTCCATAGCTTTAAGTCCAGAAAAAGAAATTGATCTCTTAGATATCTCCAAGCCCTACCCTCCAGAAACAGCAGAAATAGCTTTAAGTTCCCAATTTGAGTGTCATTATTTACTGAACCCAAAGCCTCAATATTTACAATATAAAAAAATAAAATTAATTTATGCACAAACAAAATGTAATAGAATTTTTACAAATGAATCTGTGCATAGACTAGTAAAAATCATTTTTTTATATATTTTGTTGTACCTTGAAAGAAGAAACTGGTTCGGAGTCTGATACATGGTATAAAATTTGTATCTTTGAGAATTGACAACGATGGTGGTGCGTTGTTGTTGTTTGTTGATCTTATTGAACATTGTTGAAGCCATGAATGTAATGTCTTTTGGAATATTGCTGTGCCTTCACTCCGAATTCACGAAGCCTGCTGCGTTTTTGCCAGGGTTTTGAAACCGTGACAAAATCCAGGGCTTGATGGGTGAGGGAAATGAGAAGAAGAACCACACCCAGTTCAAGATCACCCTTTAGCATTTCAAAATATTGGGAAAGGAGTGAGGAAAAATGGTGCAAATCAAATAGGAAAAGTAGAAAAAGTCCGAGAAAGAAAGCAATTGAGAGAAGCAAAAGGGTGATGAGGATACCGAGGAGTAGCAGAGAGATAACGAATGAGGCATGGAGAAGGGTGAGGAGAATAAGGTCCGAGTTTGGGAACATAATTGAATGTGATTTTGATAAAACCAATGCATGCTTTGTTGGTTGTTAAAGGAAGAAGATGATGAAGTAAATTAAGTGACACATATTCTTTTTCCCTTCTATTTTGAATGTACATGCACACAAAAACAAGCAAGGAATTTAATCTATTCTTTTTCCACTTTATTTTGTGTATACCACATTTTAGTATATTATAATAGAGAACGAATTGCAGGAAAGGATTTCTCTTATAGGAGTATTGAAAAAGTTGATACTACTTGTATTCAGTTTTTGTTACATGAACAACTTTATAATATATATATATATATAAGGCTCAAAGTTCATGAATTATTCCTTACTTGTCAATGCCTATACTTTATCATAGCAGTGTCATTAATCATTCCATTCTTTAGAATTGAGATGCAGGTCTTTCTTGAGATAGACAGAGGCTATGTGTGTTGGTAACTGGAGTTTATCTTATTGCAGAAATCAAGGATTTGCTCTGCTCTTAGCCAGGAGCACCATAAAATTAGTTGATATATAGTTTGATGATACTGTAAGAAATATTGATGATTGGGATCTGTGTGGCTATCATTGTAATTGAATTGTGGTTGTGAACCCTTCAAGGATGAAGATTTCTCTTCAACTTTTCGATTACTATATGAAATAGGACACTTTTCAATCACGATGTTTTTTTTTTTAATAAAAAAAAAAAAAGCTTTTTTATTATCATAGTTTCACCATTCACGTTATATGCATGTATTACTAAGTTAAATTCATTAAAATTATTTTATTTATTTAATTATTTTATATATATTTATTTGTTATAATTTTAAATTATTAAATATTATTTTTTAGGTTATTATTATCTTCTAGATCTTATATAAAAAGATTTAGTCAAGAATTAAATATCACTTTATCACTTATTTTCAAATATACAATTTTATTGTTTTAAAAAAAATTTCAGAGTCGGAGTTCCAATTTTCAAAGTTGCAACTTAACATATGATTCACCAATTTTCTCATATTCCAGTTGATGAATCTTAACTATTAATTTTGAGGGGATCAAATAATATATCATTAATAAATAATAAATGAATATAAAAAGATAAAAAAATATAAAAGGGTAAGAGATTTTGTGAATATACAAATATGTATATTTAATAATCATTAAGTTTGAGGAGGGTAAAATCATAAATGTTAATGTAGGATAGAAAACTTTAAGAATAATAATTAAGTTTAAGAGAGACAAAATCATAAATACTAATGTAAATTATAAAACTTTGGGGGGACTATAACCCTCTTCACTTATTAAGAAGTTTCACTACTGTCACATCCTCTTGTCGATCTCCATTAAGTAGATAAGAATATTTAGTTTTCACCGTGGGACCTAGGTAAAACGATCCCCACGATTTCTTTCATTCTATGGTCATAACTCGAAGCCAAACAATACCAAATTCAAATGATAATATGGAAGAATGTCAACAAAGAAATTATGAGGAGATAAAGAATATGTGAAAATAGAATGACGCTAAACTCTTGCAAATCCAATAAAAAGTAGTAGAAGACTAAGTTAGTCTAAAAACAATATTAGACTGAGCTCCAAACTTTATGAAATGAGTTAAAGGTCATCATCAAACGATCTCGGACGAGTAGGCCGAACATGCATTAACATCAACTATCAAAACAAACTCAATGTTCCGACTCAGAGAAAACCAAAAGTCAACCCAAACATAGGTTAGAAAAACCTTATGAACAAAAGGCCAAGCTACCAAGTCAAGTAAGAAGGAGTCACTCAAGGGAGAATGTCATATGCGAGCACACTAACAAAACAACGGTTCAACTCCCCTTTCCGAGAGAACCTACAGTTGAAACTCCACCTCGACTTGAACCTACACATTCCTAGCATACACGAAGAATCAAAATTTACAAGGAGGATAACAATCATCCATTCGTTTCAGGAATCATGGAAACCCCTCTCCTAACTAATTAGGAACCGCTCAAGTTAGAGAAGTACAATAACTTGGAAAATCTAGATGAACATTTATCAATGTATTAAATTTATACCCGTGGACAATAACACCAGATTTAAAAGAAAGGACACCTCTCCTCGGTCGTACTTTGCCCAAATCCCCAAAAATCTATGATAGTTAAGTATGAACATTAGACACCTTTGGATGCTAATGGAGAACACATGTTGCAAGAAGCTTTCAAACTTGAATTGGTATGTGCACCACCACCTTTACCATCTTCGGCTCATGATGATACCATAAAATATTATCATTTTCATCAGAATTACGGACATACTACCGATCAGTGTGAGTCAAAGATATAATTTAGGAACTCATCCGATCTGGTTCTCCTACACACTTCTTTTACAATGAGTCAAAGTTATAAAACTTACATAAATATTATACCTTACTTAAGATAACATGAATATAAAAATTTTACCTAACTCGGGGTCACACACGAGCATAAAAATTATACTTTACTTTGAGTAACATGAGTATAACCAGTGGTAGAGCTTCTTGGAAGGTGAGGGGACCATGATTATTCCCATTTTGGCCCCAAACTTAATGATTATTAAATATAATTGCTTATATATTTACAAATTTGACCTTTCAACCTTTCATATTTATATTATATTTTCATATTTATTTATTATTTATTAATAATATATTATTTGAGATCCTCAAGATCAATGATCAAAATTTGTCATTGAGTATAACTAAGGGTCACAAGTATAAAAATGTAATATAACCTTCAAAGGGTCACATGAGTATAAAAATGTAATATAACATTACTTGAGATCATACGAGTATAGAAATGTACCTTACTCGGTCGGGTCAGTGGCGGATCTTCTTGGGAGTTGAGGGGGGTCGTGACCCCCCAAAGTTTTATAACTCCCATGTAATTTATGATTTTGGCCCCCCTCCGAAACTTAATGATCATTTAATATCTTTACTTGTATATTTACAATTTTATCCTCTCATCACTCCTAACTCTTATATAATTTATGATTTTGTCCCCTCAAACTTAATGATTATTTAATATATTTATTTATACATTTACAATTTTATCCTCTCACCTTTTTATCTTCTTTCACCCTTTTATATGTATTTATTATTTATTAATATAATATATTATTTTGTCCTCCCAAAATCAATGGTCAAGATCCGTCATTGGTCGGGATCACACGAAAATAAAAATATAATATAACCTTATTCCGGATCATAAGAGTATAAAAATGTATCTTACTCAGGGTCACATGAGTATAAACATGTACATTATTCAAGATCAAATGAGTATAAAAATGTATTCCACTTGGAGTAACAAGTATAAAATTACACTTGACTAAAAAAAATGAGTCATAAGATACACTCCACTTAGAAAATGACTTATATAAACTCAGCACATCATATAAACCCAAGTTACACAAAACTTGCATCTACCTTACTCAAAACATACATGTCTTACTTAAGTATATGAGTTATCAAAATATATCTCTACCTTACTTGAGATCATAAAAGTATACATACCTTATTTAGGTGTATAAGTTATCAAAATGTGCGTCTTAAAAACTCTAATCGAAGTCATTAGTCTAACATTTATATAATTTACTAACAACTGCACAGTCTATGAAAGAGACCATTTGCAACTTCATAATCATAATACATGTCCATGATAAATGTAAATAATTTTCTAGATCGATGAAGTTCTGGTCTTCACTGGACGATCTTCTTGAACTTGGGGGCTAATGGGAGCCTTATTGAACTCCTTTCTCCTTTTCATAAAGTTCAATCCATTATATTTGCACGATAAATAAATAGGTTCTATTTAGTAAATCTCACGAATATATCTTGGTCTAATTGATTAATGGTTGATAAGATAAACATGTTCAATTTGAACACTACTCATCTACATGATGAAATCATCAACTCAATCTTAAACTCGTTTGACTTCTATTCCTAAAGGAACTTGACCTCTAAGTTTAGAGGATTTATGTACGTATCCCGTCCAAATCTATTAAAATCACTCGAATTATTCAATTATCTTGTTATACATTATCTTATTAATTATTTTTTATTATTTATCTTATATCGATTATTATCTTTTGAGCTATAGTTATTATCTTTTTTGTTATTATTATCTCCTAACTTAAGACTTAGTTAGAGAGTAAATCTCACTTTATCACTCATTATCAAATATACTACTCTCTTTTATATGTTGAAGTGTCTTTTATAGGTTGAAGCGTCTTTTATAGGTGAGTTATTCTTTTTAGTTCTTTTCTTAAAATAAATAAGAATATTTTATTTTACAAGAAAAAAGAAAATAATTTTTTCTAGTTACATATAGAAATTTATATTTACAATTCCATTTTTTTAATAAATTATCACTACAAAAAAACGCTTATTATCTACTGGTAAAATCTGTAGGTAATGACAAAAATCCATAGGTAATGCACTCGTTGGAATTACCTACGGATTATAATCCGTAGGTAATGCACTCACCTTAACAAAACAAAATATTTTTATTTATTACAACCCCCTCCCCTTTATATTATTTATTATATTTTCGAAACTTTGAATTATTATTAGATTAAGGGAATTGTCATTGGCATGATTCGAACCCGATGCACTCGAGTTGGAGATCGATACTCCAACCACTAAGCTATTAGGATATTTTAAAAATAATTTACAAATAAATTATATTTATATTTATCCGTCTAAATATATAAATATAAAATATATAAATATAAAATATATAAATATTAAATATATAAATATAAAAAATATATATAAATATAAAATATATATAAATATAAAAAATATATATAAATATAAAATATATAAATATAAAATATATAAATATAAAATATATAAATATAAAATATATAAATATAAAATATATAAATATAAAATATATATAAATATAAAATATATATAAATATAAAATATATATAAATATAAAATATATATAAATATAAAATATATATAAATATAAAATATATATAAATATAAAATATATAAATATAAAATATATATAAATATAAAATATATAAATATAAAATATATATAAATATAAAATATATAAATATAAAATATATTTATATTTTGATATATTTATATGTTTATATATTTATACATTTATACATTTGTATTTATATATTTATATTTATATATTTATATATTTATATTTATATATTTATGTATTTATATATTTATGTATTTATATATTTATATATTTATCTATTTATATATTTATGTATTTATGTATTCATATATTTATGTATTCATATATTTATGTATTTATGTATTTATGTATTTATATATTTATGTATTTATATATTTATGTATTTATATATTTATGTATTTATGTATTTATATATTTATATATTTATATATTTATATATTTATATATTTAAATATTTATATATTTAAATATTTATATATTTATATATTTATATATTTAAATATTTATATATTTAAATATTTATATATTTAAATATTTATATATTTAAATATTTATATATTTAAATATTTATGTATTTATGTATTTATGTATTTATGTATTTATGTATTTATGTATTTATATATTTATATATAAATATATTTATATATTTGTATATTTATATATTTGTATATTTATATATTTGTATATTTATATATTTATATATTTATATATTTATATATTTTATATTTATATATTTTATATTTATATATTTTATATTTATATATTTATATATTTACACGAATTAATATAAGTATAATTTAGTTGTAAATTATTATTAGAATATCCTAATAGTTTAGTGATTGAAGTATCAGTTTTCAACTTTAAAGTACTTGGGTTCGATTCTTGCTAGTGACAATTCTTTTAGTTTAATATAATTTACCTACGGATAATAATTCCGTAGGTAATTACCCACGGATGATATTACCGACGGATAATATCCGTAGGTAATGGATAATTACTCACGGATAGAATTCCATAGGTAATATCCGTAGGTAATGTACACTTTACCTACGGATAGTAATTATGTAGGTAATGGATAATTACCTACGGATAATATCCGTAGGTAATGGATAATTACCTACGGATAGAATTCCGTAGGTAATGTACAATTTACCTACGGATTTTCATCCGTGGGCAATATTCGTAGGTAATGTAAAATTTACCTACGGATTTTTATCCGTGGGTAATATCCATAGGTAATGTAAAATTTACCTACGGATTTGTATCCGTAGGTAATATTCCGTAGGTAATAGGGTTTTTTTTTGTAGTGTATTCCTAAATCAATTTTCTTTTTACTAAAGAATATTCATATATTCATAATTATGAAATTAATGTTACTTAGTAGAAAAGAGATAAGGACATCCTGATCATTTCTCATTTTAAACCTGTATAATAATTTTTTTTATAAAATCACACATCTACTTTAAAAAATATTGTGAGAAAATAAAAACTGTTTTTTCCCTTTTCTCAATAACATGTAATTCCCACATATATAACTAAACAAAATTATAAATAGTATTTGTCTCATCTATTTTATTGTGTGGTGATGGCTAAAAATGAAAGAAAGATTTTGTTTTTTCCTCAGTATCAAATTTCCTTACAAGAGTAGTTGCCTAACTTTTTTAAGGTTCAATATTGATTTAATCTTTTTTTTTTTACTTGTTCTTTTTTTCTTTCATCATGTAACATCTTATAATAAATGTAAATTTTTTTAAATATAATATATTAGATTATAATTTTTTAAAATATAATATATTATATTATATTTTTTTAAAATATAATTTATATAATAAAAGACTTATTTATTTATTAAAAATATTATTCTTATTTAAATTATTATTATTAAAAAATTATATATGTTTTTCAAAGAATATTTACAAAATTAATTATAAAAGTTTAATTATATTTTAAAATAAAATAATTTAAAAATGAAGATAAAATGTTTATCTCAGAAAAAGGGATAAGCATTACATTTAACGTGCAGATAAAAAAAAAACAGAAAATAAGTAAAATTTTAGGTATAAAAGGGGTTTGAGGTAAAAAAAAAATGAAGAAGGAGAAGAAGGGAAAGGAAAAGATAAAAAGAAAAAAAAGAAAAAAAAAATATATATATATATATATAAAATTATCTTAATAAAATTTTAATGTATTATTAATAATTATTAAAATAAGTGAATAAGACATTTTATTCTATTTATTTATTTTATATTTATGATTATTTAATAGGTATTTTTAATCTTATTTTATTTATTTTTTAATTATATTATTTAGTAAATCTTATCTTATTTTATTTAATTTTTTATATTTAATTTATTTATTTCTAATTATGTACCATTTATTTATTTATTTTTTACTAATTCATATTTACTATCTAATTTATTTTTAATATGTATTATTTTTATGTTATATTTATTTATTTCTATTTATATTAGTTATTTTTTATATTTATTTATTTTTAATTAAATATTGATTTTTTTATATTTATTTATTTAATTTATTTTAAGTTATGTATTGGTATTTATTTATTTATTTTTAAGTACGTACTTATTAATTTATATTTATATATATATATATATATATATATATTTTTAAATATATTATTTTATTTATAAATATTTAATAATATTATTGTTGGAGATAGTAAAAAAATATTATTAAAAAATGATTAATTTTAAATTCATTTATTATAATTAATCAATACAAATTTAATTTAATTTTTTTAATATAAAATAAAATATATAGATAAAATTAAAAAAAATATTTTATATTATTTTGAGATAATACTATTTTATGTTATTTTTTTTTCACATTCTTACTTTTAAGATACTATTAAAATTATGAATTTAGAGTTGTCAAATTATCCAAACTTTTTTCTTATGTTACCTAAAATTTAACTTTAAAAATACATACATTAATAAATCAACTATTTAAAAAAATTATTAACTTTAATATTTTATTTTATATAAAATCAATGTAAAGTTATATATATTATCATATGTTAATCTTATCAAAATTTAGTAAAAGATAATAATCTTTTAAAATTTAATTTAATTAATAACTATAAAAAGTGACTGCACGCCGTGGGTCAATCAATGACTTTGTTTAAGGAACTAACAGCGTGAAGGCAACAAAATATTGTTTGCAAGCAAAGACAAGAAATAGATAATTCCAAATGAAATTAAATGCATACAAATTACACGTTTCTAATTACGGTGTAATTAGATATTTTTAATGATAATATTGCTTCACTTAATTTCAAACACATAATAAAAAAATGTTTTACTCTTCTTTTCAAACACTTAATAAAAAAATGTTATATTCTTGTAATTCTGAGTTAGTTTATTACCTCTTATAGTATCGTCATTAAGTAATTATTCGGTGTTAAATTTAATAATATTTTATCATGTTTGCGACAATTAACTTTTTTACTGCTTTCATCTTACAAATATTTATTAATAAAACCCTAAAAAATATTAATTGTAAATAAAATTTCGATAAATTCATTTATTTTCATTACTATTTTTATTTAAGTTTTAAGAATAATATGAGATGAAGGTTAGTTTTCATGGATCATATTCAAATTTCCATCTACTTTTAATAGGTATACAAATTGAAAATATAAAGTGAAATATGAAGTACAATAGTTTCTAACAATTTTTTGTAGCCATAAATAAATTTAATTTTAATAAAAAACTTTACCAGATAATTTCTATGATAAAAACTATAAAAAAAGTAAACATCACTGAATATAATAAAATATTATTAAATTTTAACATTATATCATTATTTAATGATGATAATTGAAATTTTATCAAAATAATTGACACATCAAAATGTCATGTACTAAAAAGTAAAAGTGGTCAACACTTGTCTCAAAATGGTGAAAACTTGTATAAAAAAATGTGTGAAATAAATAATTATCACGTCCATTTTTAACTACTACCTCAATTGCATAATGATAATTTAAAATTAGAATAAAAAATATGCATTTTTTAAAATTTCGGTAAGTATATTGAAATAATTTTTACAAAATTTGTGTTTAGTTGTGTTCATGTAAAACTCCAATTTTTAAATTCGGTAAGAATATTGAAAGAAAAGAGTTGAAAATCTTCGTGGTTATATAGAGGGAGGAAGAAGAAAGTTCATGGTAAAGATACATAGACAATAAAAGAAAAAAATTTATTATTATTATTATTATTATTATTATTATTATTATATTAACATATTCTATTGTGGAATGAATGTTTTGGATGTAAATATAATATTTTGGTTTAAAAAATAAAATAAAACAAAAGATGTTATCGTTATTTGTACTTCAAGAAACTTTTTAATTTCTCCGGGGTTTCTATCTCTGCATATAATAATGACGATGGTACCAAGAAAGCAAGCCCAAATAAAACACAAAAGAAACGTCATCATAACCATTACTCTTCCACATGGGTGGTTGGCACTGGCATTGTTTTCCGATTTTGAGTTTCATTCAGGCACTTCAATTTTTGTGTTCAATCACAACCGTCGATGGCATGATCCCACAGTCCCCTGTTCAATGCAGCAGTGCCGGGTGCATTCTCCGCAACTCCTACGGTGCGTGGGGTGACCGCAGGGACTGTTCTGCGCTCAACGTGACATACCCGACAACAGAAGAAGAGCTCCGTTCGGCAGTGTCCTACGCTGTCCGCAACAACCTCAAAGCCAAGGTGGTCACGAGATTCTCCCACACCATTCCCAAGTTAGCATGTCCCCAAGGGAGCGGAAGAGCAAGCACAGGTGCCACTCTGCTCATCAGCACAGAGAAGTACGACTCTGGGATCGAAATCGATGCTGCGAGTATGACTGTGACTGCTGATGCGGGTGTGGGCCTCCGGCAATTGATCGACGCGGTTGAGAGTGGAGGGTTCAGCTTGGTGGCTGCGCCTTATTGGGAGGGTGTGACGGTTGCAGGGGTTATCAGCACGGGGGCGCATGGTAGCTCGTGGTGGGGGAAAGGTGGTTCTGTTCACGATCATGTTGTGGGGATTAATGTTGTTGTCCCTGCTTCCAAATCTGAAGGGTATGCGAAGGTTTTGAGATTGCGGGCACATGACCCAATGCTTGATGCGGCCAAACTCTCTCTCGGAGTCCTCGGTGCCATCTCCAAGGTCAGGTTTTTTTCGTCTTTTTCACCTTTTCGTTTAATGTTTTTGTCTTCTTTTTTTATTGTTACTTTTTTTAATAAGTTAATAATATAAAATCATATTTTATCATAATTATTAAATTGAAAATTAAATAATAAGAATTAAAAATTAGCTTCCTAGGTAATCTCTTCTCTATTATTCGTTAGATTCAGCTTTTCTTCCATTTCATAGATAAAAGTGCATACCTTTTCCTTTGATGTATTGATGACTTCCCTTTCTTTTTATATTTTGAAACTTAATTTTTGTTTGTTAGAATAATGAAAAAAAGCGAATAAAAAGAAGAAGAAGAAAAGAATATGATATATAAATAAACAAAAAGTAAATTATTTAAATTAATTGAAAATTAATGAAAATAAAAGAAAATATATTTATCACTTAAATATTTTCAAAATAAATAATTATATCTAAACTAAATGTCTCAATGAGAACATAGTAGTTTGTTGACAAATCACAGCCACTTTGCTTATAAATGATACAAATTAAGATTTATTAGTTGAACCAATAGAAATAAAGTAATATTAATAATTAAATAATATGAAATATTATAGTATAACTTAATAATGCTAACAAAAATATTTTATAAAAATTAAATATATAATATATTAAGTGTGAGATTTAACAACGTATAATAATATTTAAAATTAACAAATTTTATAAAAAGAAGAGGTCAATTTGGTTTTAGGAAAAATTTTAAAAATAATATTTAAAAACTACTTTTGAAATAGTTTCTGATTAAATTTTAATCGACTCACCGATTTTCGAATTGGTTAATTGGAGGCCGAGTTTGTGATAGTAATAATATATTTAATAATTATAATAAAAATATATTTTCAAATACTAAATTTTTAATTAAATGACAAAAATACTTGGATCCCCATTATTATAAAAAAGAAAAAACAAATTATTTTATTTTCCTATTTCAAAATATATTGAAGCATATATATAAATTTTTTTCTAAACATCACTGTGGTTAAACTACTTAAAATTTATTGCCAACATGTCTTGTCTATAATAAAATATAAAAAAAGAATAATGGATGGAAAATAATTACTTGACAATTCCATATAATAATATATTAATAATTATTATATTATTATTTGAATTGTTAATTATATTTCACATCGTTTGTCAATTAATCACAGTTCATAATAAGACCCCTTTGAGGACTTTACTTGAGGAAAAACTTTTATAAACTCTACAATACATCAAATAACCATTACAGTTATAATATAAACAAATTATATATTATTATTATTATTATTATTATTATTATTATTTATATTTTAAATTTATATCAATTCATACGTTTAATTTATGAAAATATGGCCCCACCCTTTCATGATTTTAGAACAAACATAGCCGTTAAATTTTAATATGGTCACGGTCATTATTACTTGAAAATATTAATTATTAAAATTTATTTGACTAACCCGCTAAGAGTTACGGTCCGCTAATGATCTTGGTCAGTCATGTTAAAAGGAGAATTGGCCCACTGTTATATTTTTTATTTTATTTTATTATTTTTAAATTAAATCTTTTAATAAATTTAATAATAAAATTATCATTATCAATAATTCAATATATATATATATATATATATTTCAAATTAATAATATAAATTAATATGATATTTTAATAAATTATATTTTAGAATAATTAAATTAAGATAAAATTTATATAATAATAAATACATGAATATAATAATAAAAATTTATTAAATCTTTATTTTTTTATATTGAAAAGTTTAAACATTTAAATAAAAATTACATTATATTTATTTATTTGATAAAACTTCACGTTATTCTCCAATTGAATAATTCTCACATCTTTATATTGTTCTTTAACTATATTCTTTTTTTCATAAATATTTTCAATACATCGCTCTTAGCAGTATTCCTAGAAACTAATATTGTATCAGGATTGAAATAATTTATCCAAGTTCTAAGCTTCGGATACTCAACAAATTTAAAAGATAAACCATGTCGAATAATTAAATTAGCATATAATTCACGGGACATCATCTTATATATATTTTTTTACTTCAACTTCTCTTGCATATCTAAAATAATTTGACCCACATCTTCAGTTTTGATCTTGTCACATTTTTTAATATGATGCTTTAAGTGAGAAGTTCCATATTTTTTTTCCACCAATTATGTACTTTGTGTTACAACCATTATATATAACTCTTTCTTTTCCATCCTTACACACACCAATCCTAGTAAAAAACTTCCAACAATCATATGTATTAGATTTATCCTTCTTGATATCTGACTTAACATTTTCAGTATTCATTTTTATTTTCAATATGTTGAAACTTAACCTCATTCCCAATTTCATTTTCATTGACGACATCATCAAGACCACAAGTAGGTTTACTAATTGAACGATCCATTTTCTGTTTAAAATTAAAAAAAAAAAACTTCATAATTTTTTCTTACTCAGATATTTCAACAAAAGCACAAATAGAAAAACATAATAAATTAGTCGTGAGAGAGAAAAATACTAAGAAAAAAATGAAACCTTAAGAAAGTAACAAATATAAAAGAGAGTAAAAAAGTATGAAATATATATGATTTTTACTTAATGAAAAAAGATGAATAAGAAAGAGATGATAAATAAGAGGAGAAAGAGATGTTTATGAGATAGTAAGACTTTTAAAATTCTCTTTTCATAAATCTTTATATTATATATTATCTTTCCGACTCTTTGTATTATATTATGATAATAAAAAAATATTAGTAAAGTGGGCTACTGACTGGCTCGTCCCACCCGACGGGTTGGCCCGACGGGTTAGCAAGTTTGGAGGGACGAGCCAAAACGGATTGACAGACTAAAAGTATTAACTCGCTCCACCATATTATGGCAAGCCACCCACCGGCCTGACCCATTTTGTCATCTCTATGTACTTGGAGAGAAACAATTATCATAAAAAGTGAGAATACTTGTATAATTATTAAAGTAAAATTAATGGTTTATAATTTAAATATAAATTATTTTATGTGATTTTGTTTATTATAATTAGAGATTAGGAGATATATGTAATTAAAATATCAATTTGAATTAATGGGTATTTTGAATGTAAATTATTTCATGTGAATATTTTTTTCACAGTAATTAGGAGTTCTTTAATGATAAGTGTTAGAATGTAGCGGAATGCTCGCGTGGTCGGACAAAAACCAAGAGGGGGTGAATTGGTTTCTTAATAAAAATTAGGTTTTCAAAATTTTCCCCAAATTTTACCGATTAAAAACTGTGTAAATGTAAATAGAGAAGAGAAGAGAATCTTACACAGGAAATTTATACTGGTTCAGATCAAAAGACCCTACGTCCAGTTGCTAATCACTCAAACAGAGGATTAACGCTGTCACTATAATCAAGTTGTTACAAGCAAATTACAATTGAAAAGATAAAGATAAGAAAACACCTCTCTTGAAATCCACAAGAGATGATGAACAACTTTCTCTAGAGACGGCACAACACACAATCCACTAAGAACTCCACTTAGTGATTTTTATCGCTTCTAGCCCACACCCGGTTCCAAAAGCCTCTTTTTCTTGCAACAAACAATTCTCTGACACTACAACACTTAACTTTTGTATGAAAAAGGTTGTTCTACTTTTCTGAGTGCCATAGAGAAGCTTAAGTAGAGAAATTAGGGTTTGGGAATTGAGAATTTCGGAATTAGGGTTATTGGGAAAAGGGTTTTCGAAAATAGGGTTGATTTGAAGTTAAAATTCGAAATCTGACTGAAATAATCGATTAAATCAAGAGTTAATCGATTATTACAGAGCCAAAATCAACAGAACCCTGAAACTCACTGTTTTAATCGATTAAAAGGGGTTTTAATCGATTAAACCGCCTGATAATCGATTAACAGGAGTTTTAATCGATTAAACCAGTGAGCAGATACAGAAAATGGTTTTTCTCACTGTTTTAATCGATTATTTCCTTATTTAATCGATTAAAGCCGAGCCTAGATGATAAATTTGAGCTTTTTGAAGCTTCTAAGGTGCAGATTATGTACCGGCTATCTTAAACACTAATATTACAGACTCAATCTAATTGAAACAAAGTTATTACAATACAAAACAAGTCTTCAACACTCTAAGTCTTTGAGTTCTTGAATCATCATCAAAATCAACAATCTTCATGTCCATCAAGTGCAACATCAAGTCCTTGAATGTTCAACAATAAGTTGACATATAAGTAGCGTATCAAGTAAAAATTCTTAACTAGAAGATAATATGAGTAGATAAAATTTGGATTGTCAACAATGAAAAGGTAAATTTACATATTTTTAAATAGCTATATGATTTCAATTACTTTTAATATACAGGTAAAATTATCAGTGGAGTATAGGTTCAAAAGAAGCATAACTTACAATTTTACAGAAGAAGATGATGGTATCGAAGATGTATACGTAGAGCATGCAGAAAAGTACGAATTTGCAGATATAACTTGGTATCCATCAAGACACACAGTGGTGTACAGATACGATTCCAGGGTTCCCTTAAATGCCTCAGGTGATGGAGTTAATGACTTCATTGGATTTCAACCCAATTCCATCTTCATATCTGAATCGGTTAGAGCAGCAGGTACTTGTTCTCTTCTCCCCAATACTTCTAATCTGTTCCTAGATTGTTAAATGTAGGGTTTATCTTTGGTTATTTTTACCAGAAAAAACTATACTAACGAATAATAGCGTTTACATGCAGAAAAATTGCTAGAAAGTACGAGAAACCCTAGTGGAAAATGCTTAACAGCAGCTACTACATTAGGCTTCAAGAAATTAGTAGGCAATGGGTTGAAGAACAATGGCAAAATCTTCAGTGGCTACCCAGTAGTGGGTTACCAAGGCAAAATGCAAACTTCAGGTTCATGCTTATACTCAACAAGATTAGACACATCATGTGCTTGGGATCCACGAATCAAAGGGCTATTCTTCTATGAGAGCACTGCTATCTTCCCTGCATCAACATTTGGTGACTTCCTTCGTGATGTGAGGAAACTGAGAGACCTAAATCTAGAAAATTTCTGTGGGGTGGACAACTACAACGGGTTGCTATTTCGCTTCATCAAAGCCTCAAGTGCATATCTAGGGCAACCTGAGGACTCTGTAGTGGTTGATTTCAACTATTATCGTGCAAACGACCCATCAATTCCTAGACTGAACCAAGATGTGTGGGAGGAAGTGGAGCAATTGGCATTCTTCAAGTATGGTGCTAAGCCACATTGGGCTAAGAATAGGAACATAGCATTCTTTGGGGTGCAACACAAGTATCCCAAGTTTAACATGTTCATTGCAGCAAAACAAAAAATGGATCCACAAAATGTGTTCTCTAGTGAATGGTCAGATGATATACTTTATGGGAAGGAATCAGAAAAGGTTGATGGCTGTGCCTTGGAGGGACTCTGCATATGTAGCGAAGACAGACATTGCAGCCCTCAAAAAGGGTTTTACTGCAGCCATGGCCTTGTCTACAAGGAAGCTAGAGTATGTAGATATTTACAACCATCCATGTAAATGTCATCAACCATGACATGATGTTCTTTTTTATGCATCCATTGACAACTTGTGACCATAATTACACTAAAAAGTTAGTTATTTCTTCAATTTTTTTCATGTAAAAAACTATTTAAATTTGTAGGAAATTTTTTTCTTACAAAAAAAATTTGCAAAATTATTCTCATAAGAATTTTTGGTAGTGTTACTTATTATTTTCCAAATGACATCCATGTCCTCATCCAACCTCATAATCTCAAACATTTCCTACTTTACTTCTAATGATTTTTTTCTTCTCCTTGTTATCAAATGAAGAAGGAAACTAGGAAAGAGGATCGGTCAATGAGGATGGAACAAAATATATTTTAATTTCTATTTTTCAATTTCAATTTGTAGTTAAAAACCACCATTATGTACATTGAAAAGAGAAAAGTATTATTTTGAACATGTTGTTACCTGAATCTGAAGAGGGCGTTCAAACTTCTTTTCGATGCTTAACCTATCGATGGGTTAAGCAGGTATAGATAAAATGGGGAGGTACCTACAAAAGATTTTTTGATGCTTAAGTAAGTATGTGAATGAGAATAGAGAAGCCGAATGTGAACAAGTGAAATGAATAAAATACTACACATGTTTATATAAGAGTGAAATATTATAGCTACTCGAGAAATATGAAATATTTTATCCTAATTTGTTAGTGAGTATTTTGAGTGGTTTCTGAGTATTTGTGGATGAGTTGGTATTTGAATATCTTGAGTATTATCGAGATGCTCGAATACTATCAAAATATTTGGTTTGAGAATCTTGATGATTATGATATTTAATTGTTTTGGATATGATTAGGTATACAAACCCCCAAGCTTAGAGTCTTTTGGTATAGGTATATTAAAGACTAATAAGCTTATAATATTCTTGTCGTTTTGTCTTTTCCTTATTAGGGTTTAGGGTCTTGACTTATTGTTTTTTCTCCTTCTGACAATGCATTAATTAGGGGATGTAGACCCCAAATCTTGTCCGACCTTGCAATAAGTTTAGAAATCCTCCGTTTCGAAGATTGGTCAAGACTTTAATAGGTCCATAGTAACATTTTCTAGGTTCCATTTAGGATAAGGAGGGTTTTATGAGAAAATAAAAATCAGAAATTTTGTCAGAAGGCCTCCGATGGCCGTCCAGGTTAACTAGACGGTCGTCCATGCTTATTACTAAGCCATGATAAATAGATGGCTGTCCATGCTCATTTTAGACCATGGATGACCATCCACTTAAGCTAGACGGCCGTCCGGATTTCTTGGCACGTTTCTCTATATATAGGGCCTCATTTCTCACATTTTCACACATTCACACACCTTTCTCTTTACCTAGAAGACATTCTTAAACCTTTAGGTGACTCTGAACATTATTCTGGAGTCTGAGTGATCTTTTAGACGCTCAAGAGAGTTACAAGTTTTCTTTTCCTTTGGAGAGAGGAGCATCATTGTAGAGCGAAGGAATATCCAAAAAGCATCCTCAAGTTTCAAGTTTTTATAAGAGCTCGCTTCGAAGATTCTTTTCTCTATTATCTCTTTTATAGTTTTCATTTACTGCTTTCTTTTGTGTGCATTAGATATTATAGTCATGTAAATAGCTATTTAAATATCACAATGAATAAATAAGGTAGAAGCATAATTTTTAAGTCTTTGTTTTAAGATTATTCCATCATAGGGAACCCGAAAGGGGCGTTATGGGGTGCTAACACCTTCCCCACACGTAACTAACTCCCTTACCCAACTCTGGTTATAATGGTCAAAGTTGGTTTTTCTTAAACCAACACCTTCTTTTTTTCCTTTTTCGATGTTTATGGTAAAAATATCAGTGGCGACTCCTGAACCTATTTACAAAAATCTCGCTCTTAAGGGTATTTCGGTTATCGAACATCCTAAGAGCGATGACCACTCTTTTTACAAAACAAATGCGAGTCACAAAACTATCGCGCCATTCCGACCACTTTTTACGACGTCAACAGGGGAAAATCTCGTAATCATTAGTGCTTTACTCAAAATACAAAGCATTTCGTTCGCTTCTTTTATTGCATCACTCCCATTTACCCTACTTTTTTCTTTGCAACTTTTGTCCTCCAATTTTTTCCTTTATTTCAAGCTCTCTTCGCTCGTGTTTCCCATTCACAAGGCTTTTAAGGTATTTTGTTTATCCTCATCTCTTGTTACCAATGTCTGGTTCTGTTTCTATGGATTTTTTGGAGCGAGCGTCTCCTTTGGTGTCCAAAGAGGTGCACTCTATTGGAGCCACCTCTTCTAATAATGTTAGAGGTGTTAGTCTTTTTGAAGAGGTGGAAGTGACCTTTGAGGCTATTCCAATGGTGGTTTCCATCATGGTTGTGTCTCAAAGACGTAAGGGGAAGTTGCTGATGGTTCAAGATCACTAAAACCCACTAATGAGGGTCTTAGTGAGGCCAAGCGTAAGGATAGATTTGTTAGAATCGCGCAGCGGAATGTTCGCGTGGTCGGATAAAAACCAAGAGGGGGGGTGAATTGGTTTCTTAATAAAAATTAGGTTTTCAAAATTTTTCCCAACTTTTACCGATTAAAAAACTGCGTAAATGTAAATAGAGAAGAGTAGAGAAGATTACACAGTAGGTTTATACTGGTTCGGATCAAAAGACCCTACGTCCAGTTGCTAATCACTCAAAAGAGGATTAACGCTGTCACTAAGAACAAATTGTTACAAACAGTTTACAAATCAAAGAGATAAAGTAAAGACAACACCTCTCTTGAAATCCACAAGAGATGAAGAACAACTTTCCCCAGAGACGACACAACACACAATCCACTAAGAACTCCACTTAGTGATTCTTATCGCTTCTAGCCCACACCAGGTTCCAAAAGCCCCCTTTCCTTGCAACAAACAGTTCTCTGGCACTCACAACACTTAACTTTTGTATGGAAAGAGTTGTTCTTCTTTTTCTGAGTGCCAAAGGAGAGTTTAAGTAGGGAAATTAGGGTTTAGGAATTGGGGATTTCGAAACTAGGGTTCTTGGTAATTGGGTTTTCGAAAATAGGGTTAATTTGAAATTTAAAATGAAAAACAGACTGAAATAATCGATTATTTGGAGTGATAATCGATTAAAACAGAAGCCAAATACTTCGAACCCAAACCTCTCTGGATTAATCGATTATTTGGTGAAATAATCGATTATCTCATACTGAATCAGTACAAAATAATCGATTATTTTGCTCGATTAATCGATTAAAACAGTGACTTTGTATAGAAAGTGATTTTCTCACTCGTTTTAATCGATTATTTACCTATATAATCGATTAAAGCCGAGCCTCGCATGATAATTTTGAGCATTTTGAAGCTTCTAAGTTACGTGACTATGTACCGGCTATCTTAGATTCTATAATTACGAGACTCAATTAAACTAAAACAGAGTTATTACAATACAGAAATCATCAATCTTCAATCTTCAATACTCTAAGTCTTTAAGCTCTTGGATCATCATCAAAATCAACATTCTTCATGATCATTATTTGCAACATCAAGTCCTTGAATGTTCAACAATCTCCCCCTTTTTGATGATGATCAAAATTATCTTTTTAAAGCCCTTGTAATAACCTGTTTTATCTGTCATACTAACAAACACATTAAACATACCAGATAAAATTTAAAATTGAATCATAGACTTTAAATTTTTCTCCCCCTATTTTGATTATAATAAAAAAGAACTCTGTAACATCAATCATAAGAGCTCCCCCTCAAGATATGCATAAGTTAGAGAAAGCTCCCCCTCAATTATAGCATGAAAGAAACATCAAATTTTATTTCACAATCATTCATCCATTACAACATCAAGACAATAAGAAAATACATCGATTATCTCTATATCAGACAGCTTGAATCGATTATTTTTAGCAAATAATTGATTATCTGAGGCATTTAATCGATTATTTCACGAAATAATCGATTATTCCAGAGGAGAATACCCTGTTTTGGACGTTTTGAGGGAAAATAATCGATTATCACTTCCAGTAATCGATTATTCCAGAGGCTATATCAAGTTTTTGAGATTTATATGCATAATAACCTATGAACATGCTACACCACGAATTTTAACATAACAATCATCCAGAAACAGTCAAATTAAGCAGATTTTAAGCTATTTCTAATATCCCTAAGTCTCTTCTAAGATCATAGAATCTATCCTTGGGTAGAGGCTTAGTAAATATATCTGCTAATTGACGTTTAGTGTCTACATACTCTATTTTGCGTTTCCTTTGCTCGATATGATCTCTTAAAAAGTGATGTCTAATCTCAATATGTTTAGTCCTAGAGTGCATTACTGGATTCTTAGTTAGATTAATTGCACTCATATTATCACACATTAATGGAATGTCATTTAAATATATGCTATAATCCTCTAATTGTTGTTTCATCCACGTAATTTGAGCACAACAACTACCAACTGCAATATATTCAGCTTCAAGTGGTAGATAAAACTACACATGCTTGTTTCTTAGAATGCCATGATATTAAGGATGAACCTAACAAATGACATGTCCCGCTAGTGCTTTTCCTATCAATTTTACATCCACCATAATCAAGCATCGAATATCCTAATAAACTAATACAAGCATCGACTGATACCACAAGCCAAATCCAAGTAGTTCCTTTTAAGTATTTTAAAATATGTTTTACTCGCAATTAGATGAGATTCTTTAGGACAAGCCTGAAATCTAGCACACACACGCATGTAATGCATAATATCGGGTCTACTAGCAGTTAAGTATAATAGTGATCCTATCATACCTCTATACATAGTTTGATTAACTTCCAAACCTGATTCATCCTTGTCTAGATAGCATGAAGTTCCCATGGGTGTGTTGGCTTCCTTTGAGGTGTCCATTCCAAACTTTTTGAGAATCTCTTTGCAGTATTTAGTTTGAGAGATGAAAATGCCATCTTTAAGTTGCTTGATTTGAAGTCCAAGGAAGAATGTTAATTCTCCCATCATAGACATTTCAAAC